TTTTTTTTTGCGCTTTATCATAATCAATGATCTCTTCAAAATTCTAAATAAGATTAGCAGAAGAGAAAAAAAGAGGAAAAAAAAAAGGAAAAGATTTATATGAATGATGAACATCTGCAAAACTAGTGTTAACATCAGACATCAACATACGAATAATTGACAAACGATGTTATTTCCGATTCAAACGAGTACTAATCACAATCTCATTTACATAATCAAAGTAAATTATCTTACACTAGACAAATAATTTGTCATGAGAACAACAACAAAAAAACTAGGTGCGTAGAAAGAATATTATCTTATTTTTCGTAATAAATATATTAGAATTATAAACAATAATTTGAATTTAATAATAATTTAAAAAAAAAACAAACGAAATCAAACACATTTGTTTGCATGTCAATTTATTTCTGTTTGATGAATTTTTATCTTATGTTAGAAATCAATTCTTAATAATAAAGTTCTTTCATGCTATGAAAGAAGCAAATACGAATATTAATCTTTTTCTTTTGTTTCTCGTCTCATATTCTTATTGATGCACACATATTTTCAGATATTATTAATTCAGAACAAAAAAAAAAAACGTCTCATATTGTCATCTGTATTCAATAATATTTGGTCAAATTCTAATCATAAAAAAATGATTAATCTTAATACTATTGTTCAACGAATTATTTTTATTTTTTCAATTGTAAGTAAATTCAAATGAACAAAAAAAAAAAAAAAATAATCTCAATAGATATAAATATTACTTTCAATAATAGATCTTGTTAGTATCGATTGCCAGATGTCAAACATCAATCGAATAAACATTTGTCATGCAATATTCTCATTCAAGTCTCTTAAACAATTTTTTTATGGGTCATTGAGAAACAAAGAATCCTGTCAAATGTCTTTTTTATCACCTTTCATTTCCTTATCATTGATTGTATTCATTTAACTAGTTTCAATATAAAAGACTCCATTTTACCTATCGTCTTTGTTTAACACCGGAAAAATTATAGATAGACATGTATCAAAAAAAAAAAAAAAAAAAAAACGTTACCCTCAGGCATTAATTCTCATTCTCTTGTCTCGAAGGACAGACAAATCTGAAGTATTTCTTTTGATTACTGTTATTTATTTTTTTCTTTTATTCGATAAACTAATCTTTTTTTGATAGGTTATTCTCTTTTGGATATTATTCATAATAATTTATTTAATAAAACATCTTATTATTCGATTTATAAAAAATTTAAAAATTTTTCATCATAATAATTCATTATTAATATCAAATAATAAAATTTGTCAAATATCTGTTATTTCATTAAATCAATATAGATCTATACAACCATTCTATCATTTAGATAGTTTATTTTTAAATAATAAAAAAATTTATTTAATAATTAATAATTCTTTACAATATCAACAATCAAAAATATATCTATTAAAACATTATTTAAATACATATAATCCATTACAAATTAATTTAATTGATACTCATGAACAAACTATTATACAAACAAAATGTCAAGGATATATTCAATGAAGAAATATCAAGTCTAATAAATACACAATCAATAGATAATTGTTATTCAATCAATTCTACTAATAAACAAAAGATACATGAAAGTAAATGATATATTTGTCTTATAAAGAACAAGAAAATTGTTCAGCTATAATTAGTTTTGTTAATGAACAACTATCACAATCTAGTACAAAAATAACAAATACGATATTACCAGTTATAAGGATTACTGATTGTTCTAATAGTCAACGATTACACACAGATATTATTGAAATGAATGAAAATGAATAATAAAATAAAAGTTCAAGTATTCTTTATTCATTGGTTCTATTGAAAAGTAAAGAAATAATGTCAAATAAAATCATCGATATCTGATGCACTTATGATAAGAGAATCATTTGCATGGAAGAAAATTTCATTCTCATTGATGGTTTATTATCACACAATACAAGGTTAAGGTAATTTACATTTGAATGATCAATCGTATTCTTTCATTCATTCATTTTTTTTCTTTTCGATCAATTAAGAATAGTAAAGTTATCATTTTGATGATTATTTCAAAAGGTAAGATGTTGTTTTAAATTCTAGTTATAGTGCTTTATTATATTCCAAATATTATTCTTTCCCTCTCGTTTTTTTTTTTTTGTATATTTTCTCTTTCTTATTGTGTTCATAACCGACGAGTGTTGTCTCCGACGTCACTGAATACGAAGCGATCGATTTCTTTTCTCTCTCACCCTAATTTTGGGTTACAATGTTTCTCGCGCTCGTCGTTTGACTAGATTATATATATCTGCGTTTCAAACATGAGCATGAACGTGCATGTCTTCTTCTCATTCATTCATTTCTAACGAGACGAATAGACGATTGTGAGAATAAACTGACGAGACTGGTCAGTGAACACGACCCACATCTCTTCTTCTTTACTCTATCGGCATTTGTCTTTTCTTTTTCCCCTCCGATTTTCTCTCTTCGTATGTTGTTCTATAATTGAACACATCGACCTTCTGTCCGTTGTATATAAACGCACTCACATTTATATACGAAAAAAAAAAAAAAAAAAAAAAAAACGAGAGAAAAAGAAACTTCCGCTTAAATATGCTTTCGAATCGATATATACAATGATATGAAATATTGTTACTTTATACGCATTTATTCGTTTTATTTCATATCATTGTGAACATCAATAATATTTAGAAAGGTGCTTCTATTATCTATATTCAATACGTGTGAATCAAAAAAACATATACATATATTTTTTATTATTATTATGTCTCGTTTTGAAGAAAAATTTTATTTACAGAATGTTTTTGATACGATTGATCAAGTTTATAAAATGAAAAAAACACAACAAATATTATCATATGAAGAACGTTTACGTAATTCATTTAATAAATTACTTGTACCAGATTGGTATAATCATGAATATAGTTTAACAAATGTTTTAAGAAAAACAAAATCTCATGGACATGTACAACGTATTAAACGAACAAATCATAATAATAATAATAATGATGATACACCTGATATATCAATATCATCATCAATAAATTCACCACATTTATCTAATGGTACATATAGACAATCTTATCGTCATAGATCACCAAGTCGTTCATGGTCAGAAAAACCTCCATTAAGACGTGATTCAACAACATCAAGTTATGATACAAATACAAGTATTATACATGGTAGACGTTTTACAACATCAAGTAGTTCATCATCATCATATGCACCTGGTCAACAACGTGTTGCTCAATCATCAACATGGTATAAACCACGAATATTTGCAACGAAAATTACAAATGGACATTCAAATGAACCGCCTAAACCTTTACCAAGATATTCAAAAATTGGTATGTGTAAAATTTGCTTATTGATAAGTTATATATATATATCTATCTATCTATCTTAAGTGAAAATAGTAATGATTATGTCAATTTTTAATTTTGTCAGTATCATTTATCGCTATTATGTAATGATATTAGATTAGATATAATTTATGTTGACATAACCACTCTTGTCAGCTTTTTTTTTCTTACAGTTATAAATTTCAAATGGAATATAATATCAATGAGAATCTATTACTAGTTTTCTAAGAGTATATTTAATTATAATTACATTTGCTTGGCAGTTGTCTCTCATCTGTTCGTAATAGATCAAGATAGAAAAGACATAAGCATGATTGACACATGTAACTCGTGTCATTTATATATATATATATATGTTTATGACAGTCTAATAATATTGATAAGTTTTATAGATATTTATAGTTACTCATCAATCTCTCTCTCATTTTCTATTTTTTTGTGCATGATAAATTCTGAATTTATTATATTATGCATCATGTCGATTGGAGCGATAATTGATTGGTTTTTTTTTCTCACATATACACGACAGTATGTGTGGGTGTGTGGTAGTACATATTATAAGAATAAATATAATGTTAACAAGTATGAGTAAATGTATCGTTAATGAGTTCACTTTTAAATGAATTTTTTATTTTGTATGATTAATTATGAAGAAAAAAAAAAAGATAGATGCATGATTTCTTATTATCATTATCTTTGTTTATTGAAAGTAGAGAAGAATAAAAATTATATTAATCTGATTATTATTGAGTAGAATATGTAATTTTTATTATTCTAAGAAAGAAAAAGAAAAGGTGGAAACAAGAAAAGATCCATAATATATGCAATGTTGACGGTAGTAGCTTCGAATGTTATTCAAATCAATAATCATTACTGCTGTAGTCGTCAGTTTCTTTGCATCGAAAAGTAAGAGAACGATACCCTTGATGATATGCCAAATGTATGACGAGTTTTACATATATATTTCAAAGAAAATATGTATGCTCACAAATAACAGAATGCATAGCGTCAATGACAGAAAAAAAAAGAGAAAGGAAAAAATAAATGTTAACACGAACGAACGTGTTATGCGGATGTCTGTATATTTTTTTTGGAGTAATCTAGACCCCATAGAGGAAAGAAAGACAGGAGGACGAGCAAAAAGGAAAAGAAAAAAAAGGTTGTTCTTTTTCTTTCATTCTATGAAATCATCAAATTACTATTCTTCGTTATGGTTAAAGAAGACATATGAAATATAGGATGGACAAGTGCTAGAAGAGAAGAAAAAAAGAAACCAAGACGGGATTCAGATGATTTATTTGACGAATTAAAATTTTCTTTTTTGTTTCTTAACACTCTTTCTCATTCTTCTTTTTTTGTTTTTTTTTTTTGCTTTAATAACGAATCATGCAAATACATCATCCACCTGTCGACAGTCTCCTTTTTCATTCCCATCTTTCTATGATCAAGTTTTGAAGTAAAAGAGAAAAATGAAATTAACCTTGGCTTCATATATTCGTGACTGATTCGCATTTTCTTTTCTCTTTTTTCTTCCATCTATTTTCGTTTATTTTTTACTTAGTTTTATTACGTTTCTTTTTTTTTCTTCTTCTTCTTCTCTTTGTGTATAAGAATACGATTATTTTATTTGTACATGTTATCTTTAATAGCTTTCAAATCAATATATATATATGCATCATTATCATCAATCGATTCATATCTCCCTTTTGGCCAAAGGAAGAAAAAAAAAAGCAGAAGAGAAAAAGAAATGATTGCATATATGTGTATTTGTACACACGAGAATTTGCATTTGAAGTTTTTTTTTTTCTTTTTTGATTACAAGCGTGTGTGCGTGCTTCAGGCATTGTCAATAGGCAAATGATAGTAATACTATTTCAATGACTGCGTTTTCTTTTCATATGTTATCTTATGTTGATTCATCTTTATATTTAAGATCCTGGACATAAAAATTCATTGAATTCTTGTTCTTTATTGACAAAAATTGATAATGTTCATCATCATCATCATCCTATAAAACCACGTACAATGGCACAACCACCAGTATCATCCGATGAATCTGCTCTTGATGTATCATCTGAAGGTGATGTGACAATTGTTCAAAATTGTATGACAAAAAAAAAAATCAATTTTCTTTTCATTGCAAAAAAAAACAAAATTTTCATATTTTCTAGCATCAATACAAGAAACAAATATTGAAGAATCTCTTATAGATAAAAATGAAACAACAAATATTCCTCGTACAAATTCAACAAAAAGTCTTACATCAGAAGCTGAATCTTATCGTTCAGCTATTTTACCATCAATAGATAAAAATCTTTTAGTAACTGATTCGTCATCATATGCTAGTGTCAATGATCGATGTTTATCACCATCAACAGCTTCATATCATACAGCAAGAGCAGGTGATACATCATCATCATCATCAATAACTGGATATGAAACACCAACACCAAAATTAGATGATGATGATGATGATTATGATTATCATCATCATCATGCAACATTATCATCACATAGTTCACTTTCAGATTTAAGTCATGCTGAAACCTTAGAACCAAGTGCTGAAGGTAATTATGATCGATAAATAGTAACGATCGAAAATTTTTCTTTTGTATTTCGTTAGAATAATAAGAGACATTTTATATTGATTGAATTTAATAAAAAAAAAACATACTTTGTGTATATAGAATCAAAACATTTGATAGATGAAAACGCTTAGTG